TCCTGCTCTCTAGCAATGTTCTGTAGTCTGCTTTCGTCTCCCCTTTCTGCCCCCACCCCTCACCTCCTTTGCCCCTTCCGCTAGGCTCCTGATTCTTTCTGCAGCCCTTCTACTGCCACTCCTTCGCTTCTTCTTACTGCTGTCTTTCAGCCACACCCCTCATCTTCTGTTAGGAAAGGTCTACACCTAGCCTTCTCGGACAAGGGCGAAAAATCTCGGAGGGCCCGTGTGCACGTTGCGCACGTTAAAGATCCCTTGGTGGTCTAAAATCGAAAAGAGTAGGCTTCGGCCGCCACCCGGGCAAAATTAAAAATGTCCTACCAACTGAAAATATTAGGTGTGTCCCGCGAGCTTATATGACCTTATGCAGTTGCGAGCGCCGTAAAATACTTTACAAAAACAAAAAACAAAAGTTTTGAATAGTAAATAAAAGCATTTCAATCGGTACCAAATAAAACATTTTGAGCAGAAGTGGCAGATATCACAAGCCATCAAATAGTTTAATTTGCTCATCTCGAGCACGGAAGTGTATTCTGATTATTCGTTCTATTGCAGTTCAGGCGCAGCTATAAGCACTACATTGATGAACCTGCCCATTTACAATTACAATTCTATTGTGCATAAGAAGATGGTCAGTGTCCCCCCTTCGGGAATAGCCTAAAGACACTTCAGTCAGTAGCACTGCCCGAGGGTGAGAGAAAGTATGACGAAGATAGATAGATAGATAGATAGATAGATAGATAGATAGATAGATAGATAGATAGATAGATAGATAGGCACGGAGAGAGTGTGCAGACAGGTAGACAGACAAAAAGTGAGACAGAGACAGAAGCAGAAAAAGAGACGGAAAGATCGAGATAGATAAATAGGAAGATGGACAGCAGATCAGAAATCTTTATCTCCCAGAGCTTCTTTCTTACCCAGTACGTAAACTCTAGCGTCAACATTGTTGTGATCATAAGTGTCCGGAGTACTTCAATACCCATAACTCCCCCCCCCCCCCGCCATACATCGACTTTCTTTTATTTTACCATGCAGTCTGTTCTCTCGGTTTTAAAATAATAACACACAACCAGCTCAAAAAGCAAAATTAGTTACACACATACAAAAATGAACAAATTAACAAACAAACACCCGCACATTCACACACACACACACACACACACACACAC